ATAATTTACTGCTTCATTACTGTTTCATTATTTTCATTTATTCATTATCATTATTATTAATTGTTTATTATTATCGATATACAGTGCCATATTTATAGTTAATTCTTTCAGCTATTCAGCATCTTGATAAAGTTCGTTGGCATGACAAGCAAATTCGTGTTGCAACATCAAAGCATAGTAATGTTCAGATGCCAAAAGAAGGTAATCATATATGTATTGCTTTTATAAACTTTTAAATTGAAACTTTCTTTTGCGTCAATTAATTAAAAAAAATCTATTATACTGCTGTATCGTTTCGAGAATTGATCCAAATTTTTGATTTTTACTTCTCTAATAAAGGAGGGAGAAAGAAGAAAAAAAAAAAGAAAACATTCGTTTTTCCTTCTTTCTCTCTCTCTCTCTCTCTCAAAAAAATGTCTTTGAATAATTTGTTTGAGTTAGAGGAAATAATTTAATTAATAAAAAAACTTATTTAGGGCAACCGGATGCTGGATTAACACGTGATTATTCACAATCATCATTGCATCGTTTTAAAAAACCTGGTAGCAAGAATTATTTGAATATTTATCCACCAAGTTCGACACTTCATCTTTCTAATATTCCACCAAATATTACGGAAGAATTTCTTACAAATGCTTTCGAACAACGTGGCTACATCCCTAAAGGCTTTAAATTTTTCCCGTATGTTTTGTTTTGATTTATTTTAATTTTATTTTTTTCTTTCAAAAATTTTAAATGATCCTTTTTTTCTTTTCGTTCTTTAGCATTGTCATTTTCTAATTTCTAATGATTAGAGTGACCTCTTTAAAGTGTACACTTAATTCTTACAAATTACTTTAAAATTACCTTAGTGCTCGAAATAACTGACCAAATGACTAATGTAAGCCGAACAAGTTAAAATCACAAATTTTTGAAAAAATCGAAATATAATTGGAGCACGATGATTCAATAAATATTAACTATTAAATGACAATTATAAATGATATTAATACTACAACTTTAAAAAAAAAATTTCTATTTTTTTATTTTTAAAAATAGATTTCATTATTAAATTTTCATTTCACAACATGCAACACATAATTTGTTTAATTTCAAAATGGATTTTTTATTTTATTTTTTTATTTCAGAAAGGATCACAAAATGGCTTTGCTACAATTGAATGACGTAGAAACAGCAATTAATGCATTAATCGAAATGCATAATTTTAAACTAGCCGAAAATGCGCATCTTCGGGTATCATTCTCAAAAAGTGGTATATGAAAGTAATCAAATTTATCCTCTCTTTTTTTCTTTTTTTTTTTGTAATTGGCTAAAATTTATTTCGTTTTTATCATTGAAATACATTCATCTTGTCATTGTTTTACATTTTTGTTACATAATATTTTATCAAAAAAAATTTTTTTACCTTTGTTTCATTACTTTTTTCAATCTTTTCTTGCTTTCTTTTTTCGCTTTGTTTTCTTTTCTAAAATAGCCAGCAAATGTTTTTATTATAATATAGTAAAGTAAGATATGATAGAAATTGATAAGTTAGATAACAAATTATGTTTAATAAAATATTTGATGAATTTTAGTTTAAGAAAAATTATCACCAAATTTTTTGTAAACAAAATATAACACAATATTCTTTTTATAAATGAACAATTTTGAATTTTATTTTTTTTTTTGCGCATACTTTTCATTATCGAGTTAGTTAGTTTCTCTGTTCCGGTTACATTCTTTTTTTTTCAAATATTTATTCATGCCTATAAATTATAGCCGGACAACACACATATCTGAGAATTCTATCTGATATCTTCTTTTTTTCCTGATCAACTGATTTATACGCAAATTGAATATCAAATGCAATGAAAAAGAATAGCATTTAATTATGATAAAATTTCAACAAAATATTTGATGTGAATTGTTCGAATGCAAATGCAATCTCTCAATCGAAATATCATTGATACACGTACGACAGTTACGCAATGAATGGATGAATTTTGTTTCCTCTAAAATTTAGTTTCTTTTACTTTTAATGCTTAACTTTTTTTGCACAATTTAAAGAAGCAAAAATTTGAATTTATTGGATCTTTATTGGATGGATTTTTTTCATTTAAAGAAAAAATTATCAAATCATTTATTGTTTTTGTACGTGGATAAATTATCAAAAATTGGAAGCCTTTTTTTTTCCAGCAGCACATATTGGCATTACTTGAAAGATTCAAAGGAATTATTTATTTTTTTTTTAAAAAAAAAAGGAAAACTTTTTCACTCACATATATTGTTAAATTTTCATTATGAAATTAGCTAATTTTTAAATAATATTTGTAAAAGTATTTGCTAGAATCTTCTAAAAAATAATTGATATGATTATGTGCTATAATCACTTTTTTACATTCTTTCAATAGCAAATAATTTTTAAATTAATTTTTAAGCATTACTTGATAAATTTTTCAAACAAATATCTCTTCTCTTTTCCAATTACAATTGTAATATCATCCATAATTTCAATTACTAAAAAAAAAAAATTTTTTTGGAGTGCTGTTTTATGCAAACTGAAATTTCTGCTGCATATTTTGTTATTGAAATGAGTGTTATCATCATCACCTTTTTTTGCCAGCATTTTTTGCAAAAATTATTATGCATTTAAAATTTCGAAAATTTTGTTGAAATAGCTAACTCATTGTTTTATACTGCTTTATCAGTCTGGTGATAAAAAGATGGATGATCGAAATTTATAATTATAAAATTGAAATTAATTGAATAGCATTTTTTTCTCTTTCACATTTTGATTTAATTTTTGCATAAGTAAAGATCTTTTCATTTTTGATTTTCAAACCTATATATTGGATCAGTTTTAAAATGCCTAAGCCTTATTTCATATTTCAGTATGCTATTTCAGTATGATACCAGGATATTTCCAAATTACTTTGGATAAATTATGATATCTTAGAAATGAATTTTTTTTTTTTATTTCTGAAAAGAAATCAGTGAAACGTTTTCTTTAATGTTTCGATAAGAAAAAAAAAAAGCAAATGTTTGATGTTATATAGTTGTTGTATTATTCAAGTTCATCATTCATTTCAAGCAATTTGAAAAAAAAAATTGAAATTATTGAATTTTTTTTTTTGGATGATACATTCTATTTCAACACTAATTTCACCAACAATAAAAGAAAGAATTAAAATGGATTTTAAATTACCAGATGAAATTCATTTGGATCTCATTTATGAGCAGAGCACTGCATACGTATGTGTGTTTGTGTTCGTGACAAATTCTCATTATTAATTTTTTTTTTAAATAAAAGAGCAAAAAAAGTTACACAAGAAATAATCAGTAGCAGTACTGTTTGAATAGCTCAAATATTGTAAATTTGTATGCGGTACTTGATTGTGTCTATTAATGAAACAATTTTTGTAAATTGATCATTTCAATGCGGGTTATCTTATCATTCAGCATTATTATCATTATCGGATTGATTGCATTGACGATTGTGTTATTTCTATCTTTTAATTATAAATTTCATGCAAAAAAACAAAAGAAAAATTTTCAATTTCAACTTTAACATTTCAATTTATTTAAATCATCAATTTTGATCAATTTGACACAATTTACGGAATGTATGATGTACAATTGATTACAGATTGATATGAATTACGTTCAATAACATTGCTTTTTTCATTCTTTAATTTACATCAATTTCATTTGTGAAACGGCACCATAAACATAATTAAAATCTATATCAATCTGTTCGATCCCTTTTTTTTAAAGTTTGTTTTTCTTCGAAGAAATCATTTGGAAATAAATTTTTGACATTATTTGATTAGAAATTGTTATAATAAGCGGATGATGTCATTTGCACATTTTGTCAAATTGATAGATTGTGATGCTTAATCTTTTCGTCTTTCCTATCATTCTTTCTTTTTTTTTTTTTAATTATGACACAAAGGTTTTTGAGATAGATTGAATTAAATTTCAATAATTCTGCCCTTTTTTTTGGCTTAATTTACTCGTTTCTGAAAAAAAAAGATGAGTTTTTGATTTTAAATTACTCATTTATTCTTTAAATTTCTAAATTATTTAACCGACATAGATAATAAAAAATTAATTTTAACGATTGGCGGCTGCTACTATCTTAAGCTTCTTCTCATATTAATCATGAAATGATTGTGATAGCGTTTCCAAATTTACGTATTCCATACACACATATTATCCTATGCAGTTCCAATTATAATTAGAAATAGTATCATTGATACTGTTATCATGATTTTCCTAAATGAATGTTCTGTTTCTTCTGGATACTATCACTTCAATTGTTAAATTTCAATATTTGGGAGCAGGAAAATGAACAAAAATTACTGAACAATAATTTATTCTGTTTTATCAGATAAACTGTATGAGTTTGGCCATATCATATCTTTTCAATTTAATTTTCAAAGTTATTATGTATTTGATTTGATTTCCGCATGAAATGAACCATAAATCGGATAAATGTGATAAATGTATGATATTGATTCTTTTACATCAGATCAATGGAAAACTAATTCGTACGTCAATTCTACATTTAAATTTGCTTTTACAAAAAAATTTTTAAATAATATTGCATTTGTTAGCCATTACAACGCAACAATTGTATTTCAACAATTCCTCCCTATGTTGTACTTGGAATGGTGTGATGCGTCCCGAGAATTTTACATATCAGTGTTTCGTACGTGATACGTTACGTGCGAAAACTATAACATTATCGCGCTGTTCCTCCTTCGCTCTCTATCGCTTTTGTTTCATCCTAATCGCTCTTCGGAATGCTATTTTTCCCATCTATCAGATCATTTCATATCACCATTATATCACATATCATTTTATTCATATCACATCATATCATTGTATCCTTTTTCCTTTCCATTCTTTATTATCATATCGAGCTCTTATTGCTTCTTCTTTATTTAATATTCAGCTCGTTTGCGCGCATATTTCGTTTGTTTATTTGTTTGTTTTCCTCCTTTTTCATCCTTTCGTTGGATCCCTTATCACCACTCATTGATCCTATTTTTCATGTCAATAAACAATCGAGTAAAGTTTAAATTTAAATGCGTTTCATTTGCTTCATTGCACATCTGATGATTTTGTAAAAATAAAATACAAAAAGTGGTTCAAACAGTTATCTGAAATTTTTATGCAAAATAATTATGTGTGCTTTCCATTTAATGTTAAAATAAAAGCACATTTTAACAATATGACAATAGTATAGGCATTAATTAATGAATTATTCATCCTCACTAAATTGCGAGCAATAATGATTCTATCGAAGAAAGAAGCAATTGAATTGAATTTTTTAAGCTAAAGGACGAAATGTTTACTTCATGTAAAATTGATAATTTTTTATTTTTGTCCGGCACTCTTCGATTGTTACAGTAATGACGAAAGAAAAATTTACATTTAAATGGTTAAATTCTCCGTAAAATTAACAATGCTTTTGTATGAATTTCATTTGCATGCATATTTTTTATTTGATATATTTCATTTTTTCATTTTGATCTCCATGGCAATTATTATGAAAAATGTAATT